GTTCAAAGACTGGGAGTCTTTGGCTGCTTTGAAATTAGCTGTGAGTTCTAGGTTGGGAGTAATGTATTAGCAACGAGTTTTGAAGCCTTTTAAAATTGTGAAAATTTGGATTTATTGAAGATCTGCTATTAATAAAAAATGGGTGTTTGAAGTATGCAACTTTAAAATTTGTAGCGTTTCCACTTAAACAGTTATGAGATAGATATCACGGTCAACGTTCCAAATTATGTTATCGCAGCCGTAAGTGGATTATCGAAAAAAAAATTTTCCACATAACAAGGTGCCCTGGATCAAATAAAAATCGACGGGTATAAATTTTATGCAGAACTTTTTTACCACGCTGTATAGTGTTTTACTTAAATTAAGGAACCTGATACCTAGTTGCGGACCTGAAGTAGATACGCAATCATTTCCTAGAAGGGAACATTATCTAGAAAGCATAATATCTTATTACACTTCAATCTTGTCTCTTTTGTAATACATTTTCAATCAAAAACGTCCTATATAAGTAGTGAAAATCTATTAGATAAGCCAAGTTTTCAAAGTTTTCAAGTTGTAAAACTTTACAGCATAGCAAGGCCTCCTATTTATGTGAGCGGCAGTGAAACTTCAGTTTAGTTTATTTTATAACACAGGGACGGTTTGCGACAGATGGTCAGTGAAATGAGACACGATACGTTGCCTCGGGAGGATCTTCCCGTCCAGGATAAGTCTCTGGTGGAATGTCCTGTGATTGCGCTGAGAATATTGAATAGAAGATGTCCTAGTTGTATAAAGAAACTGACGATTGGGGCCGGTGCACCATATTGCTAGCGAGCTTATCTCGGAGAATCTAAAATGAATGAAATTTGATTTTTATTACCGTTTGGCTCCCTTCTTCTATTATTTTATAAAATTGGAACATTTAAATTGGAAACTATATTTCCTATATTTTCATATCGTGTGGGTTTTACAGCTATGAATAATAAAAATCTTACCCTCAGAAGTTTCACAAATGAAAGAAATTTAAAATGAAATATTCACAAATGAATCAATGCAGTTACTTCTTTTAGCCGCTAGGTGGATTCAAAGTTGACCAAAAACGATGAATTTTTTCCATTTAATCTAAAACTTAAATATGTTATGTCATTAATTTCAAGGGAAGATAGGTTCTTGTCAAAGTAGTAGGTTGCTCCTCAAATAAATTTAAAACAGCTTCTACCACATTTAAGTCATTTTTCCGATGCTTTGCAAGTTCTCTTTGCGGTATCGCGAAGACGTTGAAAAATTCACACCAAGGTTCTCGAAAATGGAAAACGTTGTCTACGATGGAAACTCGCATACTTATTCAAAATTCGCAAAATTAGCCATTACGACCGACACTCAAAACAATCCGAAATAAACTGCGGGTTGTATTGAATTCTGCATACTTTCTACATATCCCCTCTCCATATGTATGACGTGATCTCCAAATTTGCGGGAAAATAATGCTGAAGATGCGATTAACGGTGGTAGATTTGAATATTTTATTATTATTTATGTGGTTCTGACGTGGCAACGCCGTTTCGCTTCAATGTTAGAACGCTTTGTGGTCCGCTGACACGTCCCGGTCAGAAAATGTAAGGGCGCCGAATTAGCGGGAGTTAAAGGGTAATTTGCTTCTCTTTTAAAACTTAGATTTTCTATCTTTATTAGGCCTTTCGAGTACGTGGTTAAAATTAATGACATTATGATGAATCACCCTGTATGTGCCACATATGTATGCCCCTTTTTAACATAGTCAGAAGTTTGTAAAGTACATTTTTTGTATGCGTAATAGTTTTCTCGTAATTAATTATTTTTATTAGTTATAACCAACACAATTTCGATACAAAACTAACTTAACTGTTATAATATAGACAATTTTATTTATTTACTGAAAATGAAGTTGAGAATATTTAAAGTACGACGTAGCCTGTGTATTTACTTAGTTGCCGCCAGTTACAGGATTATCTTTCACTTTCTTAGTCTTAGGAAGCATTGGATGCGATCAGTTGCAGAGGCCACGAACGATTTATAGGATCACCATGCCGTTCGTAGTGGCCTTAGACCCAATAAGAACTGAAATAATCATTAGGGCGCGCCTAGAGGTTCTAAGAGCGGGTTCGCCACCACAGAACCTCGCCCGAGAACAATAAGGGCAGTATAAAGTTTCCTAGCTAAGACTAAGGAAGTGAAAGGTAATTCTGTAACTAGTAGTGAGCAGATACATATGCCACGGCATAAGAACCCGGAAAACTATCGTACTTAAAATATTAGCACGACCGTGAAGGCGTTAAGACCACTGAGTTGAGAATTTTATAATTGTATGCTATGTCATGAAAATTATTCGAAATGGTCACCATTTTCACTAACATGTGCAAAAAAATTAATCGCATTCATCTAAGATTCCTCAATCTGCAATCATGATGGCATTTGAATCAAATTTGTATTAAAAAGGCATTGATGGACCAAATAAGGAACAAGCCATATAACTAATTGTGAGTTCTTCCATCGATGGCGAGGTGTTTTACCTAAGAGTAATGTCCACACTCTAATCACACATAAATGAGATAGATATCACGCTCAACGTTCCAGCCTGCTATGATGGGTCCGNAAAGGCATTGATGGACCAAATAAGGAACAAGCCGTATAAGTAATTGTGAGTTCTTCCATCGATGGCGAGGTGTTTTACCTAAGAGTAATGTCCACACTCTAATTTATTCGTCTTTACCTATACTGGATACACCCTCAAGATGGCAGTGGCTTCAGAGACTTCAAGTGAGACTAAAATATTTTTGGCACTTCCGAGTTGAGACACTTTATACGACTGTCTTTGTAGACTTTGCCTTGGTAAGAGTTCTCCTGAGAGTATATAGGTTTGGAAGCTCCTTGGAGTTTGTTGAATCCCATGGGACCGCAGGTTCAAAGACTGGGAGTCTTTGGCTGCTTTGAAATTAGCTGTGAGTTCTAGGTTGGGAGTAATGTATTAGCAACGAGTTTTGAAGCCTTTTAAAATTGTGAAAATTTGGATTTATTGAAGATCTGCTATTAATAAAAAATGGGTGTTTGAAGTATGCAACTTTAAAATTTGTAGCGTTTCCACTTAAACAGTTATGAGATAGATATCACGGTCAACGTTCCAGCCTGCTATGATGGGTCCGCAGATCTGGACGTTTGGCCACTCCGGATTTTGTCCATTTTTGTATTCTGTTCACTTCGGACGAGTTGCTGACTTGTAGTCAATTACGGTAGCTATTAATCGTGTCCCTAATCACAGGATGAATTTGGGAAACTTTTTATTTCCCAAAATTCAGAACTGAGGTGGTTTTTTCCAGGCTTTGGTGATTGAGGGTGATTGGGAGTTGCGTGAATATATTCTTAGGAAATTTTGACGTTTGTATTGGAATCTCGGTAATTATAAGTTAGAAAAATAGTTAAATGTGGAAAATTTTAGACCACTCTGCTATTAATTTAATAGCTATTCAGGTATTACGTATCTTTATTAAAGCAACTTTTTGCAAAGAATTTCACTGCGGAAAATTCCATTAAATTATTAACATAAACTTTATAAAAAAACTTTCCCGAATTAACCGTTCTTCTATCTTTAAAAATAGTTCTGCAAATGTCAAAATTTAAAAAAAAGTATAATGTCCGGAAACCATTTTTGTGTAGAACTCAGAAATGCTATAATGCAAATACGGATATTATGGTTCTCCAGTTATATCAGCCCTTTTTTTTCTTGATACGTTATGAGGATCTGTTTTTAGTTTTGAATTAACTAATTTTCTATTTTCAAGTTTTGACAACAGAACTTGAAATCATTAAAAACTGAAAGTTTTAACCCATTTATTTATTTAATTCTAAATGTTTTACAGATTATATTGTAAGTATTGATTTAAGATTAAAAATTATGCTGTACATATATTTTTAATAAAATCACCGGGGATTTATTAAGTCAAGAATTTTTATGTAATTACGTATGTTTTTATTTAGAATTTAATATTTGTTATTCTTGCTTTCGTAATAATTATATATTTTTAGGATCATTGAAAATTACACGTTGTTTTCTTTATTTTTACTCTTACAGTATCTCGAAATAAATGGACAATCTAGATTTTAGACAATTTTGCAAGACTTTATGGAGCGATTAATCTAAAACTGATACCGTTATTTAAAAATAAATCACCCAGTTCTTGTCGCCCCCTTAGTTTCCTTCCTATATATTAAAAATTCCAGTGGAGTCGAATGACCTTTTCACATCTATCTTGCGGAGAACAACAGAACAGTTTTGGGATGCAGAAGAAATGAATTTCAGTTATACACACATAGATTATTCTGTTCCATCTCAAATCCAATATACCGCTGAAATATGTCCTATTGTTTTCTATACGTTTCCATTCTACGGGCTTGCTCGTCTGGGCTGCGAAATGCGAGCACTATTATCAAGAGAATACGTAAATTACACTGAACATGTGTACAGACAAATGTTTCTCGCTTTCCTTTAGAAATTCGGTGCATGAAAATATAATTTCAGTATACAGGCGTGACTATTAGAAATAAGGGAAAATATGAATAAATATTGTTATTAAATACTTAAAAGTAGTAAATGTATTTATTTCATAAATAACCTGAATTTAAAAGTTCCGTTACATATAGAATTAATTAGAGTACACTCTATAAGTTGCTTTATTTAATGGCTAAAGGACGTCACAATTGGTAATTCTTTAAATCTTAAACGTCTTGTCCTATTTAAATTAAATTTAAAATTTAAGTTTACATTTAAGAATTTGTCTCAAATGGGATACTCTGTATAATAATTCTTCTAAACTGTTTTAAATCTATTTAATGTGGTATACCTAAAATAATGATTTCAATTTAATATGCTATCATTAATAATTCACTGACAACTTAATAATTTGACAGTGATAACAAATTTTAAACTTCTAAAATTAATATAAGACAATAGTTTTTGATAGTAACATTTATTTCTTTGGTTTCAGATTCCATGCAATCATTATGCAAGAATCACTTCCTGCAGCAACTCTATAGGAAAATCGATGGTGCTGTCCTTTGGTCTCAAAATGAAAGAAATCTAGACTGCGTCATTACATTTCAAACACATTCAATTCTACAGAGGTTCATGTTACGCTTCGATTTCTTGCAAATGGACTGCAATGATCATCTTTACATTTACGATGGAGCTCATGCCGTTGGAACGTATAAGGTAGGTAACAATTTCTTTATTTCCTAGTATCAAAATATAAAATAGGAAATTGTTGTTTTCATTTTAAAATTCGGATGCTGTACAAATATGAGGTTTTTTCTTTAAGAAATTTAAACTAAAGCAGAAAGGCAACGACAACTAAGAAGGGGAAATAAGATGTATGAGATCAAAACATGTGAGGGCGAACAATCTTCATAACTGGTTAATTATATAAAGGAGAAAAATATATTTATGTTATTTACTTGCACAACGAAATTCTTTCATTTATATAAACGCAAAACATGCTCTAAATTCTTGGCAAGAAGTTCATTTTGCTTTCTTTCTAACTTCCCGTAAAATTTCACATTGTTCAACAATATGCAAGTCTCTCATTTAAATTGGATGTAAGAAATGTTTTAAATTTTCTCGATTTACTTCATGGAAGTTTATATCGTCTCGTTTCTAACGTTTTAAATAATTTCAAGGTAATTTTTTTCAATAATTTAGCAAGTCTTTCATTTGTAAGTATTCGTTTGATGCAAGAGGTATTCTGAATGCTCTAGATTCTTGCAAGGATATAGTTTATTTTGCCTTCTTTCTAACTTATACAGGATGATCCACTAGTGGTATGGAGCGACTGTATTAGGGTGTCCCTGAAAAGTATGGACAACGCTTGACCACAGGTTCTTTGGATGAAAATAAGACTATTTAACTTAGCTTATTTAGCTTACCTATTATACAAAAGTGCACGCCTACTGAGATATAGCCTTCTAAATATAGAATAGGTAACCTATTTTTTTCAAATAATTCGAAAACTATTTTTCTTAGAAACTTCAAATTTGGTACACTTATTTTTTTATATAAGGGCAAGGTAAATATAGAATTTGGAGAGAATACATATACAGGATGTTCTATTCCTAGTGCCTGTGCGCCACTGGCTATCCCGTAATTTTTTTGTGTGTATGCCAATGAAGACAGAATTTATATTTTTAAAAATAAGCACTATTTTAGAAGATTTTTTTGCTCTTACAAAATTTCGATATCGTTTATGGATTTCGTGTAAAATTCGCATTTTTCATACATTAAATATAGGCAAAAATTCCGATTTATAAAAAATAATTTATAACGGCAGCCTCAAAGCAGGAAATAATAATGAAAAAACATCACATTAAAATAACTACACATTTTTGGTATTAGTATTACCAATCAATAAAATAAAAATCAACACTAATATTTTAAATAAACAATATCAACTAATAATGTAAGAAAGTCAACATTAACATTTTAAATAAACTGATATTTGTAATCATATTAAAATAATATTACAGTAAATGCTCAAAGTTACTTTCTTGTTCTTAAACGCAAACATTAGTTCTTCGAAAATTATAAATTATCCAATAATTGTGCATTACCTCTCATAATATTAATTTCATGTTGTATTCTTTCCCATATTCGTTTTCTGTAATTACTGAAAAATTATTTTAATCTGTGTTCCTCAACGCTCCTCAAATGAAATAAACATGGATTTAGGTCCGGGGATCGAGGTGGCCATTTTAAAAGGGCATTATTTCCTCTACCCACCTGTTAGACCTTTAATAACCCTTAATACCTACCTGTACCCTGTAATACCTGTAACCTGTAATAACTGGTCTTTTAATAATCTATTAAAGGAACTTTTTGAAAGCCAACCTCTGCCACTAAACGCCTTTTATTTACTTGAGGAATTTCTTCGACCCTTTCCAAAATTAGTTCCTCCAGCTGAATAATTCCGGGCGTACATTATCCGCGATTTAATGTTACAGGTAAAAAATGTCCTGTTTCCCGAAGGCGTCTCTCCGCATTAGCAAATGTTTTGTGATTTGGAGTTCTTCGATTAGGAAATCTTTCAGCATATGTTCGAACAGTAGCACAACAATTTNGTGTCAGCAAGGAAGCTTTTGGACTTTGTAAAAAGGACAAATCTACTTGCTGAATAGGACTAGTAGTGGGACGCATAATAGGCCTAATCAGGCCGCAATGCTATGGGACTTATTAGGACCAACCATTAGAAGTAGAAGTAGAAGGCTAAATAGTCTTGTTTTCATCCAAGGAACCTGTGGTCAAGCGTTGTCCATCTTTTTCAGGGACACCCTGTATATAGGAAACTAGACGTGCTACAATTATGGGGTAACGGGGTAAGTTTGTAACTTCGCCGCTAGTGGGGCAACTGCTATAGTGTTACAGAAAATTGTCGGTTTTTTTGAAATTTTTAGAGAACTAAATAAAGGTGGAAGTTCTAGCACAACTTCACTATTTAGCAATAGCTTGAAAACGAAATATGATATCGACCTCCGGTTTGTGTATTTGTTTTCCTAAATGAATAATCGAGTCATGAAAAAAAAAAAAAAAAAACTGTACCTATCGTTGCAGTTAATTTTTTAGTAAACGGAGACAATTACAAAACTTTCTTAATTAGCGTCGTCCACCGTTGCGCAGGAAAATAATATATTTATTCCCATATCATAAATATAAATTTTATTAATAGTTCTTTAAAATGAGCCATCGTTTATTGAAATCGTTTAAGGCATTTAGAAGTTACGACAATTTAAAAATTTTAACATGGCGTCCTTCATACTGGCGTTGCTATGATAATAACAAAAAAAAAGTACATACAAAACTTGTGACGGGTTTAACAGTGTATCTAAAAAGTGTATTTTCAACTTAGGTTATATAAGCGAAATTCTGAAAAAAGCGACAATTCTCTATAATGCTAAACCAGTTGCGCCCCCTAGCGGTGAAGTTACAAAGTTGAAAATATTTTAAATTTCTTTTGGCAGTATTTGTCAATCCATTTTTTACCCCATAATCGTAGCACGTCTAGTTTTCTATGTACAGCCGCCACATACTGATAATGGATCACCCTGTATAGTTTTAATGACAACAAGTATTCCAGTTGAGTTTTGTAAAATTTCAATTTGAGATAATATAGTCGTTTTCCATTATTTTATAATGTTTTGCTTCACATATTTAACATGTACTTACATATTTAATAATTTTTTGATTTTCTATCATTTTATGCAAAAAATGAGTATCACGTATTTCGTTCCGAATATCAGCATCGAATGACGAAAATTTATGAAAGTTTGTACAGTGTTTTTCTAGAAAGCATAAGATTTAAAAATTCTAGAGGACGATATCGCTACAGTATACTGGGTGTAACGTAGTGGTTGGGAATAAATTAAACGGTGGATTTTTTGGTTTAAAAAATAAAATTTTCTCAAATGAAGTTATAATCTAAGGGTTTTCTTTGCCAATCTACAAGGCGTTAAAAAGTTTCAAAAAATTTAATTTTTCTCAAATAACTTTCGAATATTATAAGATAATGGAATGAAATTTTAGCCTTAGCTTAATTTGATAATCCCATAGTAACAGGAAAAAAAATTGACTTTGTATGTCACTCAGTGGCGTGAGTACGGATTGTACCGTAAGGTTTTTCGAAGAAAATTGTGGTACGCTACTGATGATAAAAACATTTTTTTTAATATTTTTTTATGATCCACTTTTTATTTTAAACAAAATTACCCTCTTCCGTTTTATTTCTAGCTCTTGTAATTTTTTCGTAAATACATTTTTTCCCACTGCTAACATAGGAAAATAAAAATAACAAAAACATTAAGTATGCTTTGACTTACCCACCGAATATGGTCAAGTAGGCACTGAAAAAAGACTTTTGCATTGAAAATGATATTAAAAAACTAATTTTTTTGAAATTTTTTAAAACCCGTAAAGCATAACTTTATATAACAAATATTTATTTATTTTTAATAAAAAATACATCATTTAATTTATTCCCAATCTTTACGTTACACCCTATATACAAAATATGTCACAAAACAAAGATAAAAAAGGTTATTGAATCAAAAATTTACTAAATTTCTAACTGAATCTTTTTTGCCCCTACGAAAGTGAACATGTGCCAATATTTTACATTCGGAAACTATAGAAAAATCCCCATTTCAGACAAAAGCCCAAGCGGCAATAACCCTCTCAAATTAGGAGAGATTAATTTTCAGGTTTCATTGTGATGGCGTGACACATGAAACTGCAGCACTGAAAACAGTCCGGGGATGCCTGCCTATCAATAGTATCCGATGCCCTTACTTCACCGGTGGCGGCTTTTATATCGAATGACACGTATCCCCCATTAAATTGATAAAATTAATTAAGCCGTCGATTGAGAAGGGATTAATCCGTCCGTGCGCTAAATTACCTTTGTGGCAACGCGGGCGTGGAAATCTGGCGTTCGGATTTAATAATTGCTATTTTGTACTCTATGCTTTTACATTTTATAGCGCTATAAGAATACAGAACATTTCATCATTGATGAGAAGATCACTCATCTAAAAGTAGAACATAAAGTTCCTGTTGACAGTGGTTCGTTCTTATTTCGATTCTGAGATACAATAGATTAAAGAGATTGAGAGAGAAATACATTTTTCAGTTTCCCAGTTTTTTTCCGACATGAGTTTGGTACCTGTTGGATTTATTCGTATTTCAGTTTTTAATATTTAAAAAGAGGTTACACTTTTGAAGTGCCCTTAAGTCGATGCATTATGTGTTTATAATAAAAGTGCTGACAATATTATTAAGTTTTAGAACTGTTTGTGAGTTAGTTCTAGATATTGTCGGATTCGTTAGACAGTCTGAATAATATAAACGCTCATAGCTTAGCTTTTTGGTTATTTTACGTAGGCCTATTTCCGCTACTTAGGCTAAATACCGATGCCAGGAGACGAGCAACCTGGAAATTTTTGCCGAATCCCACTTTGTCGTGAGGCAGGGATCTTTTACATTGTTTAGGTAAGGGACGATCAGTTTTATATCCTTTCCGAGGGATGGTATGCCTTTCTACACAAATCTCGCCTAAATGTATATGCCTGTATAGCTTCTGTAAATACACCAACATACAGGCCACTAGAAAGTGGACGAGCATCACGAGCCTTCTCCGGATGGTCAACCATCCAAGTACTAACCGTGATCAG